AGAAATGTGAGCCGGGCGATAATCTAAGCTATCTACTCCTGTAAATATTTTATATATTCTCGCTTGGAACATCCTTCTTCTTGGCGCTACAGAATCATAAAGATATATAACAAAAAACAACAACAACTAAAATGGATAGCGAAGTGTAACTCGAAGAGCATATAATGACATAATCGAGTGGTTGATGTTCCAGACTACTTCAAACAAAAGGTTAGGAAGGAAACCCCCATCAGTACTGGAAAGAGCAATAACGGTAAATTTGTGAAACATATTTTCCTGAAAAATTGTTTTGATAGAAACGGAAGTAGCATTGGCTGCTCGGTCAATGAATGCCAAAAGTTTCCATATAATATTACTATGACTTAGGCTTATAACAAAATTAGTACAAACTTTTCCTCGTCCCATTTACTATCTTGTGATCTTCAGTGTTACCAAATGCTTCTCGACCTCAAGTGTTGTGATTAAAAACAATTGTTATAAGGTGGAATAAAACTCGTAAGAGGGTAAGTGTTTCCATTATGTTGTTAATCGTGTTTAAAGACGAGTTAAATATTAAAAAAGATTATATCAAAATTTTATAAATACAAAAGGGAAAAGATTCCTGAAACTATCACAGGAGTAGAGACCACTTGAAATCGCACTAGCCTATGAAATCTCCTAATTCTATTTACCTCTTCTGGCCTATTTACTTATCTCTCTTATTTATTAATATTCCTTAACGTGACTCACACAGCAGGCGATACATCATTGATCAGCCTGTCCCTCAAATTTCAGTAAATACCTCTAACCTGGGTTTCTGAAGTGGAAAAAACTCACCAGCAAAAATGAATGAATAATAAGCAGGTTAGCAAAGGACAAGCCGAAGAGAACGCAATCGCCATTTTTTTTTCTTGAATCGGAAGCCATAGCTACTACTTGTAACCGGGAGCGGAAGTAGCCTATGGAGCAAATGGCAGTAGTAACCGCAACCACGGCTGCGCAGTAGGCGTATATGCATTCCACACGAAGCTGTTAACGGATGCCATCTTCGGTAGCGTTAAGCCACGCAAAGAACAAATAAAATAAGGCAATCACCTGATGAAAAGGAATTGATGTAAATGATGCATCACTCTAATCGAATTGACGGCGAAGGTTATTAATGCTTTGTTTTAGAAACTCGATTTCTCTCTGATGTTTGCGGATGTTTGAGGATGTGGTGATAAAGACATGATTACACCAACGGCAACACAGCGACCAACTGAGCTGTAACACTGTTATAGCAATGTTTTGTTTTGACTATAGTACTAAATAGAATGGGGTCAGATACGGATTTGAGAATAGAAAAAAACGAAAAAAAGCAGGTTTAATTTCCTCTTTCATATTCACCAGGAACGAGCTTTACTCATATTTATTATGAGTAAAATTCACTTCAGATCACATGTAAAAGTTTTTTTTATACAATTTATACAATTCAGTGAAGAAATGGAATAGAAGAATGCTAGAGAAATCTTAGAAGTGTCTAAGAAGTTTATTCAGCCTTTATTGCGTGAAGATTCTTCCAAAATTTCTTGCTGATACTCTTTACCCTTTGTGTTTAATGCGGAAAAATGTGCGGCAAAACTCCGGAAATGGGGCTTATGGTAAGGGTAAATTAGGTGCAAGCATGTGTGGAAAATGTTCTGTGAAGCGTAGAAAATATTTTGAGACCAAGAGCAAAGAACTTCTTGAAAGACTGCAGCAGAACTTGAAAACTGATGAATTGGCGGAATATTTAAAGAAAGACACAGAACACAGAACACGTGAATCTTCAGAATTATTACAAAAGTCAAAAGCCTGAATGATGCATTGGAATCTAAAAGACTTGTTTGAACAAAGAAATTCATCTTCGTATTGCAAATTTGACATAGCAATCAATTATGGAACTGAAGTGGGAAGTTCTTCTAAATGCCGGTGAATTCTCTCCATATAACATTTTAGACTTATTTCGCTTAATGCATGGTTCTTTGGCCGGACAGCGGTTCAAACAAGATGAAGATTCCGAAAGATTCCTCGAAGAATTGACTGAATCAAAACTGGAAACGTGATTTTAAGGTGGAACATACAGTTTGGCTGAAAGTTAACGTAATGAAATAAAATAAAAAAAACAGGGAAATATTTTTGATGACTGAATAATGATGTCCTGAATTTATTTTATTTTTCTAATGTTGGAAATTTTTTTCATCCAGCTAATGTCATTTGTTCAGGACAAAAACCAGTGTTCAACTTGGGGTTCTACGTTGCTAAAATCTCCAATAATTAAGCTATTAATTTTATTACCATTATCAAATCGCTAAAAGCGTCATGTCTTTTCAAGACTTCGGCGATCATAGCTCTCCACAGATTGCTTTATTATCTGTGAACTCAAATGACTTTTAGTTAAGATAGAAGAATAGATATCCATTATTTTCTCCACGGTTAGGAATTTAAAATTTTATTTTCTTTAAGATCGCAAGCAAGCAAAAGCTAGGCAACCCAATCTACTGTCCCATTTAACTGACAGCTGTGAGAAGACGAGATGAAAAGCACATTTGAACGAAAAGGATACACAACAGAAAAAAAGCTTAAAATCTGAACTCGGCTCACCGATTCTACTTGCAGTGCGCATGTCTGTGACACTGTGACCCGTATTACCAGCAAAACAGAATGCATATAAAATGTGAAGATAATATAATAATTGAGAGGCTGCTTATATGAATCAATCATTTTATTTCCGTGAACAAAATCGTTAAACTTTATAAAGCGTCACTGACGATGAATAGATAGCGACGAATCTGCTCCACATTCGAAAATCTAGAAAATGAATTAAAATAAAATAATAAACGAATAAACGTATATATGACATCGGCTCTTTTCTTCATGCTTATTTTTATCCACGAAGTCTTTTATTGATATTTGGTAAACTTAGTTTGGAACAAGGTTAAAAGTTGGGGGTATCCAGTGGGAATCTGAATCACTATATTAGTAATGGTCTGTGAGATTTGCTTAATCAATTTACACAATATTTGATAGCCAATGAAACCTCAGAAGCAATAATCTAAAATAAACAAACAAGTAGAAATAATTCACCATTAACTGTAAGGAGAGAGAATTCAATGCTGTAAACAAAATTAATGGCATTATTAAAATCTAGCAGGTGTGGAAATCTACCTTTTTGGGTGGCATCGTATCAGAAGTTTGAAAGTGAAAAGGAATAGGACAATATGTTTATTAGAAAATGAGAAAGGTATTAAGAGATTGGAAAATGTCCATAGAAACGAAAAAAAAAAAAAAAGAATGCTGGACTCTTACATAATTTTTAATCTCTAATATAGCAATAAATGCTGGATAATTTCACCAAAGATGAAGAAAATACTTGAAGCGACAGAGATATCGTTTTGACGGCGAATGTTGAGAATAGCATGGAAAGAGTATGAGAGAAACGGGGAAGTTCAAACCTGAATGAACATGTGAGTGTGTATGTGTGTTAGTGAGAGAAAGAAAGAGAGAAAGAGAGAGAGAGAGCAGTAGGATAATCAATATAAGGTCACACTTTTGGAAGGAAATCTTTCTAATTTGAAATTTGGTAAGAATATACAATACTTTCGTCCCGGTTAAAAAAAAATGAAATTGTGTACAATATTAATTTTTTTTTTTTAACTATAGCCGATTTCAATTTAATATCTAATTTTATTATATACATGTTTTGAAAGCATGAAAACATTCAATTTTTGTTAAAGCTAAGTTCGGAAACTGATGACATTGTTTTAATTTTCGTTTTTTTTATTTTATTTTGGCTTTTCTTTTACCAGTACTTATTATTATAAATGCCTGTAAGACAGATTGAATGGTTATAACGACTTAGATAAGATTGGACATAATCATAAAGTTATCAGCCATAAGGTAATGTTCTTTTTGAGAACTCAAGGCTCCATCTAAAAAGTTTTAAAAAATGGGTACATACAAAACTCTTCATCAATTGGGGTATATGTAACTATTTATTGAGAAACAATTTTAAGGTGTGTTTTCAGCCATAAATAAAATAATCAATGAAATTTACCCGTTTGAAAATAAAAATACTGAAATATGCCGAGATCATTTTCATCTTTTCTTAGGTATGCCCAAGGCGCGAGAAGGTGTTACTCCGTATTTTTATAGCAAATTTTCCATTTTATTATCTCTGCCTTCTCAAAATTCTCAAACTTTACAACTATCATATGCAAAATTACTGACTCATTGGCATTTCGTATTTAATATACAGGGCCACTTAATTAATTACAAATATAACTTATAAAGTTATTTTTCTAATAATACCACAAATGGCTGTATTGACATCAGAGGATTAATTGCATTGTTTAATAAGTGAATCAATTTGCTGTGAATACGGAAAGCTTTTCTTCGCACATGCGTAACCGTAAATGTGTGTGTGTGTGTGTGTGTGTGTGTGTGTGTGATATAGAGATTGGGAGAGAAACACATGTGAATGTTCATTGAAGTTGATACAGTTATAGAACATCTCCAATATTACGTATATATATATATATATATATATATATATATATATATATATATATATATATATATATATATATCTCCAACCAAATATGTTAGCGCTATCTCTGATATTCACTGCTTTTAATAAGCACCTGCGCATATAATATATAAATAATTATACATATATATATATTTATTTATATTTATATACACTTTTCACACACACACACACACACACACACACACACACACACACACACACACACAAATATAATATATATATATATATATATATATATATATATATGAAGAAATATAGTTTTAGGGGTGCTATATTTATGGGATAAAAAACTCAATATCAGAGATAAAGCGTATGTAAATATAAATATAAAAGTGAATATTGAAGTCAAAACTCAGGCGACAGGCTATTTTATGCTAGGCGCAATCGAATATATATATATATATATATATGAATTAAATTTAGAAAAAAAAGGTTTCTTTTTAAGTCTCACCTAATCGTTTTTTTCTTGCTAGTGTACCACTAGTCTTCTTAGTGTCCCTGTTACTATTCGTTGAATTGAGATAGTTTATACTGGGCGTCATCTTCTCATCTTTCTGTGGCAAGTCTTTTCTGTTTGAAAATTCCTGTTTGTCCTTCGTATCATAAACACCCGGCAGCTGAAAGGCAAATAGACAAGTGCATAGAAACAATAAAGGAAGGCTTCGAACGTTAAACATGATAGAAACTACGCCATTTCTCAAGTAACGGTCATCAACGACTCGCCTTCTTTCAAAACTACTTTGACGTCATGAGGCAAAACGCTATTTCCGTTATCATCATCGTGACATTATTCTTTTATTTTGATTTCTTTCATTCTTGAAATTTCACGCAAAATATACTAAAGAACTCATGGATTTTATATTTATTGGAAGATTCATTTCAAAACATTTTTCAGAATAATTGTAAAATTGAATATTATCTGAAGGTTGAATATTGCTCGAATTAATATGGCGTCTTATGATTAATTTAGGACTATAATCTCCACGTTCGTCTTTAAAGAGATTGTAGATGAATTATAGATGAATTCACTATTTTCATTAAATACCTCCATTCGTTGATGTTAACAGCAAACTATATAATCTATATCTAGTTGAATAATCCGTAATTATTGAAATTTTACTAAAAAGTCTAATCAATCTCTGGCTATTGAAATTTTTCGTTTTGTTTTTTCCAAACTGCGGGAAACCAGACGACGGCAGATGCAAAAACAGATCCTAAATGAAGGCTATGCGTAAGCTTTAAATTCATCTATGTCATTAAAAAAAATGGCGTGAAAAAGTAAAACAAAAGGAAGGAAAGAAAACCAAAAGGCATGAAATTTGCATTTTAATTTTCGGTTTCAATTTGAAACAAAATATAATGAGCCTTTCAAAAAGGGAGCCATCCAAAACATTGAATTTTTTTCTTTCTTCCCTTTACATTTTCACATGCCTGAAGATGACAGATGTGAGTCGAAAACTCGGACATAGCCATGAATATTTTTTGTATCTGCAGCAGCCATATTTTCGGAAGGTTACTCGCGATTTAAAAAAGACGATAGATAAATTCAATCGACATAGATTTTAATGAAGCTAGGCTAATTATACTAAATTGTTGAAATCTTTTATGCTTTTGTTTTACAATATACTGCGCATATCTAAACATCTCTAAAGTAGATGAGTTTTTAATACAGATTGTTCCTTCTCCTATACTGGTTACCAATCATAGCTAGAGAGCTCATGCTACCCTACTATTTAATCCATTCCTGAGTAAACTACATCCAGCAGCAAGGTCTCTGATCGGGAAATTAGGAGCTTTGAGGTGTGATATTTGTAGGACCAGATGGATGGGCCAAAGGATGGATTTTATCCAATTTAGACATGTGTGTGACTAAAAGAAGGCAACAAGAAGGCTGTAGTGTTATGATATGGGCTGGAATTGTCGACCAAACCATTAATGAACCATTCAAAGTCGATGAAAGAGTTAAATTAGGTACCTCCACTTTTTCGTGGAAAACAGCAGAGCATAATGAAAAAAGCCACAAACTTAAAACAGTTTTATCATCAGAATGTTCATGCTATTAAGATGAAAGACCAAAATATTTTTTGATTATTTTTTAAATTTTTTAATCCTTTCTAACACGTTCGAAATTTTGATTCAAAATAATCTTTTATTTACGTCATCGCTGGACGTAATAATTACAAATACATTTTTGGCGCTTTTTTCCAGTGAAAACACATTGATTTCGAAATTCTTGCAAAAATCAAATAATTGTCGGATTTTAATGAAACCTCCAGGATCTATTCACAAATGAATGAAATTATTCTTGAACTTTTTTTTTTAGAAAATCTTGGTAAAGCATATTTTTTACAGATGTTACCCCCCACTTATTTACTTACATGAAATTTCTTGAAATTCCTTTCTATTTCCAGAATTTTTTAAATCATCTATTTTCTTTCAAACTTTTACTATTCTAAATGAAAATCTGCTACAAATAGTAAACTATAAAAATGCAATGAAACTATGACATTAGTTAAGCTTTTAACTGCTTTTGTAAATAAGTTATATTAAGGACATTATTGCCTGAAGAAATAAAAAAAATTTTGATGAATAATTAATTTTTACAAGAATTTTTCATTTTTTTAAATTTTTTAATTATAATAATTTATAATAGTTTCAAAATCGTTTAAAATTCTATATTACTCTATTTCCTGGATGTGATATTGTAATTTAAGTTGAAACGAAATTTATGGATCCAAAATTGAAAAAATTAATAAACTTCGTTTTACTATTCTATTTTTAAAATATATATTTTTTATTTTTTCACTAATTGTTTCATTTTTTTTTATCTATGATAGCCTAAACATGTCGTTAATATGAAAAGTTCACTTACTTGGATTGAAGAAAATAGAAAAATGTTTTTTAGCTAATGTTAATTAAAGTTTATTAACTATTAATGATTAAACAATATTTTACTTATAAAAGATTTCCACATCAGTTAATTTTCTTGCTTACGTATCTTATATTAATTTCATCTATTATTAGAATTTAAAATTGATTTAAGAAAATTTTATAGTACTTTAATTTTTTCTATTTTTTTTTATAAAACATCTTCAAACGTAACCAAAAGTCAATAAAATATTAAATAATTGCTGAAAGTATGATAATTTGTAAAAGTTATTAGGTAGTTAAAAACGAAAAAAAATGTGTTCACTTAGATTTCGTAAATTTATGTCAATTCTGGTCATCTATACTAGCTGTCATTGCCTCGGAATTTATCGTCAATAAAGATCAAAGAAAAACAGGACATGTCGTTAAGAAATGCTTGTATATTTTTTATGCTATAAGTAAGTAATGTTTATTTCGAATCAGATTAAGTTAACTTTAAATTTGCTAATTTTACTCAAATAACTTGTCACAAATATATATTTTATTTTTTGAAAAATTTTAAAACTGATAATTTTGTTTTGTTTACAAATTTCTTAAGATTAAGAAAATGGCTTCTTTTAAGAAAATTTTCTTAAATCATCCAAAAAGGTGAGATACCGATCTATATAATTTTTATTTGAAATACACCAAAATATTTTGCTTACTGGAAATCATTTAGCTTTCAATTAAAGCTTAAATTAAATCTTCAAGAATACTTTTTAATTTTAAAAAAAAAAGTTTTAAATGTTAGGTATCGAAAATTTATACCGAATTAGTGAAAGTCGCTAAGTTAAACTGAACAGTGGTAACTATTTTGATTTTATGAACAAGATTTTCTTTACATGATCTCAGTCACGCAGTTTCAAAGTGAAGTGTGTATTTATGAACGAAAATGCTCCTTCTCATGTATCTAAGCTCATCCGTGAATTCTTTGATCATAAAAGATTTACAGGAGAGAAGATAATGTAATGGCCACCATTGACTTCTGGTGTGAATTCTATTGAAAATCTATGGTCAGTTGGGAAGATGAAATTGTATGAAGGTAACAAACAATATAACAGCAAAGCAGACTTATGGGAAGCAATTAAAACAACCATATCAGAAATTGAACATGCTGAAGTAAAAAATTAACAAAATCAATCGATGATAGATTCACTTCATTGAGAAGAAAGGTCATTATATTAAAATGTAAAGGATTCATAAACTTATCATATGTGTTTGTTATTTGTTCTATTATAGGTGTTGATAGATTTCTGATGATTTTATTAACTTTTTGAAGTAAAATGTGATTATTATCGACCAAAGCATTATTGGACCATTCAAAGCTGATGAAGGAGTTAAACTGAAAAATGCTAACTACTATGATTTTATGAAGAAGACTTTCTTTGCACAGTACAAGTCCCAATCTTGCAGTTTCAAAGGGAAGTGTGTATTTATGAACGAAAACGCTCCTTCTCATGTATCTAAGCTTATCTGTGAATTCTTTGATCATAAAAGATTTACAAGAGAGAAGATAATTTAATAGCCATTATCAAGTCCTGATCTGAATTTGATCGAAAATCTATAGTGAATTGTGAAAATGAAATTATATGAAGGTGACAAACAATATAACAGCAAAGCAGACTTTTGAGAAGCAATTAAAACTACCATACCGGAAATTGAACACGTTGGAGTAAAAATATTAACAAAATCAATGGATAATATTCTCTGGCAGTTATTGAGAAGAACGGTCAATATCTGTCTATATTTCTGAGATGAGGTATTATGTATACTATTTATGTTATTCGGACTATTGTCCTCATCTTTGTTGCCATATTTATCACAACGTTTCGTCCGCTGTACGCTCCGGTCTTCTTCAGGTGGTAGGAATGTTGAACTGAACCCTTTATTCCGCTCACTGGGGTAAACTGTTCTAGTTCCACGTACCATGTTTAATGGATGTCAGTTATCAGTTATCTCATGTTAAATTCCCTCTGAAAGTTCTCCACTGTGCCATGTGTCCTCATGTGGATAAAGGCGTTAGTTAGATCTAGTGACAGGACCCAAAGAGTGTGAGTTCAATACCCGTTTAGGGCAGTGGAGAACTTTCAGAGGGAAATTAACAGTGTAAGGGTCAGTATATTAAAATGTAAAGGATTCAGAAACTTATCATATATGTTTGTTATTTTTTCTATTATAGGTGTTGATTAAATTTTGATGATTTTATTATCTTTTGAAGTAAAATGTGATTATTTGGTTTTGCTTAATAACGTCAGGCATCAGTTTTTTAGAATACGAAAATATCAAATCACTTGAATAAAACTTATTGAGTGCTCCAGATCTACACCTTGCTCAGAAAAGCATCATTAATTTTTCTTAATATCTTGGTAAAGACATTTTAGTAATTAACTGTAATTAATAATGAATTAAATATGTTTTTCATCCAATACAAGTATGAGGGTAAGTTAGAAATTATCTGCATTTTCACCATAACATATAAAATAACAAAAGTCCGGATAATTTTTGACTTTCCATTGTAATTCTGTCTTCTGTCTTATTCTTTATTTATGTGTTCAGTGATAAATTTCTTGAATCTTATTTTCAAGACTATAATCTTCTGAGCTAAAAACCTACGATACAAATGAACTTTTTGTTTTTCATTGCATTCTCCGATCTGTTCTAAATTCGAGATCCGCCTCTGAATAAATGTGAATCTCACTGATATTGTTCATGAGTTGTTACTTACAAACGATAGAAATCCAGAAATTATTTTTAAAATTGCTCAGATTTA